CAGTGGCGCCTTCCAAGCGAGAGAATTGAAAATAAAATATCGCAGACTAATACATCTTTTGAAAAATACTTGAAATAACATCGCTGCCAAAATTCCCCTTGTTCGAGACTCTACAAAGTGCTATCGACTTGTCGAATGACTTCCTAACATCTCCGACAGGATTTCGTGTCAATTATGAATTAAAACAGCTGACAGGTACTTCAACGAGGCTTGTAAATAATTTTTTGCATATTTCCAATTTTCGTAAATAGTTTCGAGGGAAATAGAGATTCGCAAACGGGGTTTTCTCGGTGCAATGGTAGTGGTGTAATGCAAGTATATTGGTTTTATAATAACCAATCTGAGTTTCGCTTAATTTTCAGAAGTAGGATAGTCCCCAACAGACCCAACTACTTCTAATCTAGTTATTCTCATCCGATTTACTATTTGTACTTCAAAACACCAACGATTCTTCTTCTCACTAGAGCTTTGTCTTACTCTAATTACAGACCACTTTACAGTTCGAGAACAAAAGAAACAAAGGTCAAAAGCGATTTATCAAAAATAAATTTATTTGATTTTTCGCAGGAGGATAATCAATCGAGTTGACATTAAACGACTCCTGTGAAAATACCGTCGAACCTTAAGTCACTTTCAGTGATCTAGTTGAAATAAGGGTCTTTAGTGTGTGTCACACCGTGCAACAAGGGACCTCTGGATCTACTTCCACCTTCCTGTTTCAACTGTGCTCTGGATCTGTCATCGATTTAACACTGACCGCAGGCAATGTTCCGCTTTGTTTTTCCTCAAGACTTCGTAAAGCTTTATGATAACGCCAAAGTATTAAATCAGATGTTCGAACTTTTACACAAGCTAATTTTCAAACGGGGAGATAAAAGAACAATCAGTTTAAAAGGCATCGATATTGGCATCGATGCTCCAAATACCCGAATTGGAAACTGTCTCTAAAAGATTAACGTTAACTGATGCTTATGATTTTCATTAAATTTATTACAATTGCAAATATTAAAAGGAATCGTAAAACGGCGACGTACCATTTTGACATTTCCGTTTCTACGTAATTGGCTGGAAACAACATACATGCAGAATCAATTAAGGAAGGAAATTTTTGCTCTTTCTCCATTTAGAATCAGTTTTCATTTCATATCGATAAAAATTTATTCCAACAAAAAATCAGCATTAAATAAATTCATTAAAAGATTCTGCACAAGATTACAAGTTTTTGTTAGGTTCCACCATTTTTCGACTACACTTTTTACATTATATATTATTTAAAGGTTGGGACCGTACATAATATATAGGGTGTCCCAGCGATTTAAAAAAGTCCATTAAAATGACCTTTAAATGGTAAAATTAAAAAAAATATATAGGTCATTGATAGTTACTAATCTAGTCTATTGCCTAAAATTATTTTCAACTATACAGTGTGTCTCAAAAATAAGTTACAATACAAACTTGTGTTTTTTTAAATAAAACACTATATATCTCTTAGTGTTTTTGGATGTAGATTTTTATGACAGTGTTTTTACGCTTTATTGGTCGATTTTGCTTACTTTTAAAAACAAGACGGTTTTTTGACGAAAACATGCACTTTCTAAGAATTTATTACACAAAAAAGCTATAACGTTGTAACATTTTTTTAGTGTGTTGCATTTGCAAAGATAAAAAAATGAAGGTCTTGGTTAAAAGTTCATTAACTTAAAAATTTTAAATGAACACCCTATTTATTGTTTTTGCATTTAAAACATTATTAAATTGTCTTTATAACATTATTACTTGTAGTTGTTTATAATCAATAACTAAAAGGATATTTAAAGTTAAACATTAAAAAAAATAATTACTATTGTTTCAGTAGCCAAAAAGTGCACAGTTGCACAAGAGAGGGAAGAAATATAATTTAAAAATCACATTTGTGTTAAACTGAATTCATTATTCTTTATTTTTACAAAAAAAATAATTCAAATTTCAGTATCTATAACGACTTTTACAATCTCTCGATAAATCAACGGATAAGTGGTCCGTGGTGGAATTACTGTGGTTGCTATAGTATCAACAATGCCCAGATATTGATAGGCATTGCTGCTACAATTAATATGGAATGTTAAATATCTCTTCATTTATCAATTCTAGACAAAAGTTAATTTTTTTTAGATAGACAATTTATCAATCTATTAGATGCAAAAATAAAAAATAGGGTGTTCCATTTAATTTTTTTAAGTTATTTAACTTTTAACAAACTTTTTAATTTATTAATATTTACAAATGCAAAACACTAAAAAGTTCTGTACTTTCTTCTTATTAGAAGTAAGAAGAAAATTGTTCTAGCTGTCTTAGTTTTCGTGTAATATATTTTCAAAAAGTGCATGTTTTTGTCAAAAAAACCGTCTTATTTTTAAAATTAAGCAAAATCGACCAATAAAAAAACATTGTCATAAAAATCTACATCCAAAACTGCTAAGAAACATATGGTGTTTCATTTAAAAAACACAAATTTGTATTGTAACTTGTTTTTGGGACATGCTGTATGGTTGAAAATAATTTTAGGTGATGCACTAGATTAGTATCAATCAAGTGTCAATGCCCTATACATTTTTTTTTAAATTTTACCATTCAAAGGTCACTAATGATCTTTTTCATCTCGCTGAGACAGTCTGTATAAATCATAAATATAAACAATCAAACTTTTTCAATAGTTCAATAATTGTGGTGTGCAATAAAAAAAATAAAAGCTGACTGATGAATGTTAAAATACTTTTGTTTACTCTCTGGAATAATAATTTTTTCTAGATTTAATTTAACACTTTTAGACGAACATCATTTCTTAATAAATTATTCACATCATTAGCTAATCTGATCTTGTTTCTAGAAATTTACAAATAAAATGAATTTTTAATTTTAATTTAAATCCCATTTATAACAATACGTACCTATATGTATACCACCTTTGCCTTCTAATGAAACATTCCCTGGTTTGTTTATGTATTCAATTAACGGAAGGTTGAATAAATATGAAATGTATACTGAAAGCCACAAATTTTTCACTAAAGCTGTACAAATAACTGTCAATTTATTGAATCCATCATTGTAAATTAATACATGCGTTTGTTAAGCTTTGTTGCAGGAACGTGACCGCAATGGAAGATTTCTAGTTATGCCAAAACTGATCAAAAACATGCAGATACAGACGATTTTTTTAATGATTTTTTTCCCGTCGGCAAAAGCTGGCGAGGACAATAAGTCAGAGTTTTTATTAAAACGTCCGAGCGACACCATGCCCTTATTAATTTAAGTAAGAAATTATGAAACTCATTTGGAATTTCCAAGATGCTTTGTATCACATCTCGTGGGAAATGGGAATGCCGGTGGAGTCTCCTCAGGGTAATGTTAAATGACCTGAAACACGGCTTTCCTATGATCTCTATAACAATTGCTACTTTTTATGTTTCGTGTCGTTTTGATAAAAATTTCAGCGGTTCTATCGATTCCATTTGCGAAATGTAGTTTGCGTTCGGGGAGATTTTTATGTATTGAAAGGATGAAGACTAATGTTTCAAACAAGTGTCGCTTGCAATTACACCTGCACTCGGCAAAGAAAAGTCAATATTGGTGTCAACTCTAAGCATAATTCATTTAAATGCGTGGAAAATGTCACATAACTAAATGACGCGATCGATGGGAATGAAATATTCAAAATTTGAATAAACGTGGCATTTTAATAAGCTACTATTTATCACCCTCACCACCAGCTAAACTCCCTTAGATTTGTTATCGATCCTAGGATGTCGCCCGCAATCTCAGAATTAAATAACATCATGCATCTACATACATTTGTACAACACATTAATTAAAACTCAAAAAATTACATTTATTGTTTATTATATTCTAAAATAACACGTCATTATTAATAGATAATTGTTAGTGCTGCAACCAACAATACATAACTGAACAAATTTATAAATATCAGCATATACATAGTACGTTTTATCAGACAGAAAAATTAACTTTGAGAAAGCACAATTGTGTAAACAATAACTCCCTTCGTGCAGCCAAAAAAATTAACATTTGTCACATCAAAAACGTTGTAGGAACAAGAATGCCTTTGTAAGTACAAACATTTCTCTAAAGCCATGGCTTAAATATTGTTACAAACTTCGCGGGTAAAGTAAGTTCGGTAAAGAAGTAAAAACTCGCTACAATTTATTCGAAAAAGTTCTTTTGAAAAGATCAATGCGCGTGTAAAATCTCGTAATAAAAGCGTTCAGAAGGCGGTATTAAGTTCAAATCGAGTGGTTGCTAAACCTAGAACGCCACCTTTCATTTACCATTGAACACATTATATGCAGTAGAAGTTCGCAAGATGGTGCGAGAGGACAAATATGAATCCTTTCTTCTCATTTTCCCTCAAGTACAGAAGGCGTTCAAGTCTGAAAATTTACAGGCTGAACTTCTTCAACTAACCACCCCATTTAGGGGAGGAAGGAAAATTTATGGTGATGTCATTAGAAGAAAAAAGGGAACAAAACATTCTCACAACGTAATCATCGCATATGTTCCGAATAAATCTAGGTATTTTAGAACAACTGAAAACTTTATAAAACAAACTAGCTTTAACATCGTCTCTGGACTGATTTTGTATAGTTGTGAAATTAATTTAAAAACAAGGCAAAACTTTTAAAAATGTGTGCTGAACAAGCCCATATAACTATACCTTTGAAAGTAGGTCAAAATCTTTAAAAAACAAAATGTTCTGAGGAGGTCTTACTTGTAGTAACACGGTCCAGTTATTATGATGCATGGAAATATGCGCTTCATTACGTTGAATCAATACGTGAAAACCGCAAGTCCGTAGGGCCAATAACAAGGAAGCTGTGTCTTGATCAATAATAATAAAAGTATAGTTGTTTGAATTTGAGGAGGAAATTGAAGCAGCCCTCTGGTGGTGAAGTATTAGACTGTTGTGGGGGAATAACCTTGGCGCCATTTTGTAAAGAAAACCAACCTTAGTATCCAAAAGTATTTATTGACAAAAGAAATTGCAAAGACAATAAAGTTAAATATTAATACTTATATCTACTTAACATAATGACAAAAGAAAAAATATAAAAATATACATAATCTCTAAAGCGCAAAACGGTGCATATTCAGTAAAATAAAATAAATAAAGTTTCTTATGGATAATTTAACCACAGTTCACTTGATCATTTGATAAAAAAGATGTAAGAATAACAAAAAAATTATGAACTGTAGGTAAATTTGAGGAATAAATAGCGCATCAACTACGTAGATTTAACAACAAAACCATAAAGAAAGTATATAATAAAAAGTGTAAAAATGATAATGATACATGAAAATATTTTTACATCTCTTATCGTAGATTATCACAACTGAACATTGTATACATTATCTATACTAAAATACTTGTATCAGTCCTCGTCGGACAATTATGACTAAAATTTGCACTGAACAGAGTCTTTCGAAGTGGAAGGCTGGGATAAAGTGGAACAATCAGAACTGATAGATGAAAAACTATCGACGGTATTGAGTGTTCCGTAAGTATTTTGTGAGCAGGTCATACAAATGTAATCTTCATCTTCACATATATCCTGCGCGGATAAACCAACACAGGCCATGTGAAACCACTTATCACACCCACCGTCACATTGAACCCAATCGACGTTCTCTCCCAACGGCTTCAAACAACCTGTTGCAGCGCAACTATCTTCGTCCTCGTCCTCCGAACCTGTGGACTGACGTCGGCGGCCCTTGCGTCGAGTACCTTCTTTCTTCCCTTGTGTTTCTTTGGTTTTCGGTTTGGACTTCTGTTTATCGTCATTTCTCACGAGTTTGGACTTCTTCATCATCTCGATCTCATCCGATCGACGCTTACGACCGCGCTTCGACGGAGCATTCTTTGAATGCATCTACATTTCAAGTTAAAATTGATAACGCTATAAATAAAACTCATACTCACATCAAAATCGATCAAAATAGCTTCCTTTTCCGGATCCCGCGATGCTTGAAGCAACTTCCAAAGTTGGAAAATTTCATCCAGATAAACCTCAAGCAAATCCCCTTCCATTAACAACTCCTCAATCTGCTTCCTGATATCTGAAGCAATTTGCAATTTATATTCACTCGAGTCAAATTTAGGGAAATGGAGGGAGTAGGCGTGTTCTCCCATCCGGTCATCTGCTGAACCATATCCCTTAGAGTCATCTGAAGAATCCGTAACGTTAGTATCATCAGACTTATCATCTTGTGTAACTCCACTAAAGGGTGCTATTTCTTGTACCCTTTGTAACAAATCCGGGTTCTTATAAGCTCGCTTTAGTTCGCTCGAAATAATCTTCTCAGTTCTTTGTCTCGCTGCTGCTTCTGAATATTTCTGACTGAACGATGCAAGTTTGTTTTTAGCTGCTTCAAGTTCTGGTTGTTGAATAAGTTGGCGAGCACGGTCTTGCCAGTTCATAGCGCGTTCAGTCAAACTTTGTAAAGCCTCACCCTCAGGAACTCTAACGAAGAGTTTCTGCAAGGACATCAAGAGAAGAAGTATCGCATCTAGACGTGGACGCTTTGTCCTGTAGCAGTTAGGACAGAGAAATTTGCAGTCTTTAAATCCCAAATGTAGTGCAACACTAGTAAAGTTGCCTTTGTACTTTGAAGACGCGACTTTGGGAAGAGGGACGCAATTTGAATGGAACCAATCCTTGCACAATTCACATTGCATCATCAAGCCAAAAAGACTTCGACCACAGACGCAAAATGAGGCACAGTCGTTCGGATCCATACTTTTTTCTAAATTTGCAGCACGGACAGTTCGTATTAACTCCATTTCATTCTGTTCGGCATCTTTGAATAGTGCTACAACAGTAGCAGGATCCATGTCACTGGTTAGGTTAAAAATGCCATGCTCGTCGTCTTGATTCTTTTTGCGACATTTTGAATTACTGGTGAGTTGTATTCGAGGTGATAAAGCCTCCATTAAGTTACACGATGAGTTTTTCCGAAGAAACGCCCGACTTGTTTTCTCTTTCCAAGCGTTCGCTGTCTCTAAAAACGACTCCAATTTGCTGACTTCAACCAAATGTAACGCCAACTGGTGTCCTTTTTTAATCAACTCCTCCATGTCGTTGAAGTAGGGATAGCATTCAGCAGAATTCATTTCTTCTAATTGACGCAACCAATCTCTAGCTTTATCCATGGCTTCAAAAAGGAACTCTTCAGATGGAAGATACGAATTAATTTGTCCAGCTTCTTTTAATAATTTATCAACCTCAATAAGTACTTCACTTCCGGTATCTTTAAGAATAGCTTTTGCTTTTTCTTCCCATTCTTCGCTTTTGGATAGGAGGGCTTGTAGTTCACTCAATTCGACTTCTATCTCAGGATTTGGTGGTAACTGAGTACCGGTTTTAATAATATTTTTAATTGACTCAAGTCCTAGGACTTCAGTTTTCTTCTTGTAGGACAATACGTCGTTAAGCCAAACACATTGACGTAATCTTATTTTAACACTACGCAAATTCGGAAGTTCTATACATAGATTATTACCTTGACTAATGCATTGCTCTAAATCGGAAAGTGAACATTCACTCAGTTTCATTTCAAGTAAAGCTTTACTAGTTGTTTCGAATTTCTTCGTTTCTTCTAATAAATCTTTAATACTTTTAGCTTCTTCTAAAACACACACTAGGCTATCTAATTCTTCATGGAAAAGAATTAATTCTTTTAACGTCAATTTGTATTTCGTGTCAGATGAGTTTCTTGTCCTTGTACGCATTTTATTTAAATCTAATTGTTGGATAACTCTTGCGCATTTCTCGGCATCTTCTACCGCGTCGGTTAATGTTTGTAGTAAATCACATTTTGGAAATTTCTTGCCGTCTGCTTCATTAAGTAAAGCTTTCAATTCTTGCAATGTCAGTGTTTTGGGAGTTTTCGGATCTAAAGCATCTTTCACGCGATTGACCCAATGATCAAATGATTCAGCTTTAAGTTTTAACGACTTAAGCATTACCGGTAATTCATCTAATGTGTAACGATAACGTAACGTGTAATTCTCTGGATGACAATTACATAAATTTTTGTAATGACGAAGACAAACGAGAATATCCGGTGAACATTTGCATGTTACTGCAGATAGGAAGCATGTCGTTTTGCAATGATCGCATTGCCTTTCGTCATCGGGAAGCAACTCAAAAGCCTCGCGTTCAGCGTTAGACACTCCCTAAGAAGATTAAAATAATAACACTAAAAGCTTACAAACAAAAGACTTACCGCATCGAGGAGCGTCTTTCTTAGTGTTTTCTCAGTTTCGACCATTTGTAGCATGTCTTGATATGTAGCTGCGGCTATCGTCAGACCTAACTTATCCGGATCTAGAGCCATTTTACACACTAACTCATCATGAGAGAATACGCAAAAACGGCGCAAATTCGAATAGTGCAAAATACACTCACGGCCCATCCTCAACCAATCAGCTGGTGCGAAATTGACAGCCTCGGCAAAGTTATACCTATCAAAATAAACAAACAACTCCAAATCTGTAACAAAAAATTATATTTGGTTAAGGTTACCCCTGGTTGAACCCCGCATGATAAGCCCGAGGAAATGTCACGACAAACTCCCCCGCATGCTGATCCGTGCGATAAACAGGAACTCCAGCTTTCATCAGAATATTCGGATTCATTATTGTGACTAACTGATGTAGTAAATCGGGTTGTGAGTGAAAAAGTTCAGGAGCGGCCGACTTCATTGTCTCCTCGAAGGCTTCGGCCATTTTCCCAGGAACTCCATACCAAGTTTTGGCTTCGCCCCAATGGAGATAATTAATAGAATAGCTCCAATGGTCTTCGTTGTGCCAACAGAACGTCGCGAAACACATCCCGACGTACATCCACGGGACTTTCATCCCGGAGATATCTGCATTGATATACCCCAAAACCGAGTTTTCCAAAACCGGGAGGTTGTTCAAATTCCACCCAGAATCGGCATACTCCTTATCCCCGGGTAGGAGATTTAGAGACGTTTTGGTTGGAAAACCCGACCCATGATCCATAGTGTGAAGATCAGCGCCATATTCAACTGTCACATCTTCATCGATTGAAGACACGATGCGCCAGAATTCTTTCTCGACGACATTCGTGGGTACCATCTAAACCAATTTCAGTGCAAAAAAACTAAATTTTGTAAAATACATACATGAACCGGCATGTTGAAATACTCGGATTTAAATTGGTCGGCCATATCGCCGAATTGTTGCAGAGTGTATTCTCTTTGGGCTTGCTCGAAACCGAAGGCTTCCATTGGTTTGGACACTTCTTCAGCCACACATTTAGGACAGCGCCAGTCACCTTTAGGAATCTCGTTTAAAGGTGGCATTAGACAAAATGTGTGGTAACTGTCGTCGCAACCATCACACAATAGCATATACTCTTCAGAATCGCCGCGGTTACAGTTGTGACAGACGTATTTTGCCAACTGTTAAAAAAAAATTTACTACAGGCATAAACAGTTAGGTGTAACTTACAGGATCGAAGTCGTAGTTGACAGTTTTGTTATTTCTTCTTTCCTCCTCTTTCTCCTTACTAATGGCCATTTTTGGACCGGCGCCATAGAATTGTAGGCGTTTTAATTCTTTGTTGTCATCTTTACATTCTTCTTTTACATCGTCTTCGACTTTTGGCTGAAAACACGGTTTTGAAACCGTTTCTCTGACCAGAGCATGCAAGTCGTTATTGACCGAAAAGTGCAATATTCGTTATTTTACATTTTATTTCAAAAATAAAAACCCAATACTAACCATAACCAGTTAAAAAAAAATACACTTGCAAAAAATTGGAAAATAGAATCTTCTCATTTTATTTGTTTTACTGGTATTGTTTTCATGTAAAAGCAGTCTCATAGTAATATAAAAGTTTAGAAAATGGTGTCAATTTCAATGATTTTCAAAAAAAAAAAAAATCAAGTGAAGTCAATAAAGTTAGAAAATATGTGACAGCCGAAAAAGTAATTTTTATTATACTTCCAGGAAAAAAAAAATACTTATGCAATCTTGTGATAAATCGATAGGACGCATTCTTTATTTATTTAAAATAAAAACACGTAACTTACAATAATAAAGCAAAATATTTCTGAAATAAATAAACACTGTGGGTGTGTCTTGATACCGACAACTGTATCAGCTGCCATTTGCGTCTTCCAAAGATAAGAAAACATTACAACAAGTGACAAGAGGTGTGACCTAATCACACTTGGATTTTCACTTGTAATAAGATACTCACCTCTTTAATAATAAAAAATACTTGCCTGTGTTTTTTTTTACTTTCAGACCAACAAAAAAATAAGCGAATATTGCGTCATTTACTGTCAATAACTTTTTTCCAATTAAAAAAATAAAAAATTATTACGTCAGCTTCAAATCGTTTAGATCGTCGGGCGTGTTTCTCAGGTGGTGGTTTAATAGCCATTCGTCCCACAATCCCGTGCGGTTTATAGTCTTTATCAGCCTTTTCGCTTTCTTCATTTATAGGTGATGCCATTTTCTAGAGAATTGCAATTAAGAAGGTCCAAATCTGATAAAATTTACTTACAAAATTCAAAGTTTTCCCTTGTTTGAAAAGATCAAAGGGATAAAGTAACCTTTCGTAATGGGTTTTTAGTATTGTGCCTATACTTTTACCAGATGGGTACCCCATAGAAACCGAAATTTTTGACCATTTCCTATCTTTGGTTACTTGATCAAAACCACCTAATAATGCAAAAGTCTAACAAAAAAATTACCTAGTAATTTGTAATTACCTTGACTTTGAACAATGCTGTGTAACGTGTATAGGTCAATACAACGTTTTTCTACCATAGGAATTTTCAATGTGGAACCTTGCAGTTCCCAGAACTTGGCGATTTGGTCGAGGAAATTTAATTTGACGCGAGTTTTAGCCTACGAACGTTACAAAATTAAAGTCAAAACGTTATTAAATTGGGGTAAAGTACCTCTAATTCGTTAAGTCTCTGAATTCGTGGCGTAAATCTTAGTTTATCAACGTCAACGGCAAAAGGCGGTTGCCAATTCTAGAAAAAATAATATTTGTATTAAAAATCTGTAACAAATATGGTGGCTAAGCAGCCATAGAACCTCATGTTTCACTTGATTGCTAATGGAATTCTAAATAAAAATAGCTGAGGTTCCTGAGAGTGGTTCAAAGTCTATTTGGGTGCGAATTGATTAATAAAGGCGAAATAATTTTGATGGTCTCTTTTTTTGACTTACTGGAGGCGGTTTAATCTTGCAAATGCCCGATCCTTCAGCATATTTCCTGATCTTGTTGATGTACTCAAGTGGATCGTTGAATTCTTCCTCAGTTGGGTGAAAAACAGGAGCTTCTGGTGGTGGTTCAAACTCGAAAGACTCTTCTTTGTAGCCATAGCTCGAGTCTTGCTTTGGGCTAGTATTTTTCGCGTGGTTTTTAGCAGGACTGGTGGGTTTATCCACTTTTGTAGTCATTTTGGATGATTTTACATAATTAAGTCCTGGAAGAAAAACACGCTGGACTTTTTACACGAAACACCAGAAAAGACACGATGGAAGTCACGGCTTAATCATCAGAGCTCGGGAAAAGTTACTTTCCAGAAGATTAGCGAGGTGCTATACCTGGCCGTCACATTAATCACGTTTTATTATTGAATAGGGGGCGATTTGACCCGATTTGCGTACACCACACTTCCCGAACGCCTTTGGGACACTTTTCACATCAATTTGCTCGAATTTCGAGTATTTTTTTTCATTCTGAACTAACACAACAACATTACATGTAATAATATCCCCACCAGCCGTCATCGATTGCTTGAGGATCTTGTGAATAGCAACATAACAAAGATGGTCTACACAGAAATTTATAAATACACCCAACCAGTCGAAAATCCACCTCGGATTACACAAAACACCCTAATTCCTACTTACTACACGCACCTTGCTCCCAGTTCATCCGCAAACACCTCCGACAAACATTTCACACATAAATACCAACTTTTAGGTTAACTAGAAAGGTACGTGACGCATAGCTAACCAGCTAAGGAAGCTAGCTTCAATATGTCGATGTTTAGCAATCGACATGACTAAAAACTCTCTGACTTACTGTAAAACAATTATATCTGGGCTCTGTATTATTGGTTGCATAACCTTTAGGGGGATAATTGCCAATGACCTTTAGGAATTATCCATATTTGTTAAAAGTTTAATCAAATTTACGAAACATACAAAAGTGACATTATTAGGTATGCAATAGGAGGATTTAATTCCCAAATTTTTAATTTACTGCTTAATTTTCGAAAATAATAAAAATGAACAGTGGCGGAGGTTTGACTATTTACGAAAGGGGCGGGGAAGGTTTAATTAGGTCATTGTCTGTCAAAACAAATTTTTCGTTTAAACCTTGAAATTTATTATTTGTAAGGCTGTTAATGCTTTTTTAACTTTTCTAAAATAATATTGTGCAGTTATTTGGATCTTATCGATTTAGAAAGAATTCTGAGATAACTATTTACGCATTATTCATTATAATGTTAAATTAAAAAAAGTTATAAACAATTTTCAAGTTTCACAACCCTTTACTTTCCAGTAAATTAAGCAAACTTCTACTTAGGTGTGGCATTTTTTAATTTAAAACACAGTTTTTAACAAAAAAAAAACTTACCAGCAGAAAACAACTGTGAGCACCAAAACTCAAGATTCTACTATTTCCGCTATATTAAACACCTCTCTTCAGTTACTAATCAAAATACTTGTGTGTGATATGCGATAGGAGAAATAGTTCACTTATGTATTCACCGGTAGTATGATTTAATTGCATATTTTAAGGAATGTTTTTCAAATATGATTATTTTTAAATTTGAATTTTATTGATAATAAAATTTTAAACTGAATTACTACAAGCATTGCTATTATGAAATCATTTCCCAATTTTAAGTTTTGCGTTGCAATGTATGGGTAGTTCTTTTTCTATTAAATAAGTAGCGCATGGCAAGTTTTGTGAATTAAAAAAAATGCCTTATTATTATTTGAACTTAAGTTTTGCGATAACCTGTCAGAATATCTTATTTTTACAAAAAAAAAATAAAAATATGTAATTTAAATTTTCAGCGCCACCTATAAACGGGTAGCGTAACACCATTTTGCGGTATATTTAAATTGTAATCTAGACACGCCCTTCTTAATACAAAACATGTTGTATTTACGTTCAATTTTTTAGGTTTTTCTGTAAACTTTGTAAAAAGTTTAAATAAAACATAGATTTTGCTAATTATTTATTTAATCAACTTTGCTACATTTTAATTTATTTATAGTTATATTATTGGAAAAATGCATTAGTTTTCTTTATTTTCTTCGTCTTTCTTCTGCTGTTCTTTCTTCTGCTGTTCTTTCTTCTGTTCTTCGTTCTTCAAGTCCTCCTGTCTCAATCGCTCCTGTAGCAGCTCTTGCTGCTTCTTTGCTTCTTCAATCAATTGGCGTCTCAGCTCACGCCTGCGTTGCTCAAATCTTATTCTTTCTTCACGGAGACGTTGTTCCATTCGTCTTCTCCGTTCTTCTTCACGACGACGTTGTTCCCGTCTCTCCCTTTCTTCTCGGAAACGTTGTTCTCTTTTCTGCATTTGTTTTCTTTTACGTTCATGTGACGAAGTCTAAAAAGAACCAAAAAAATTGGCATTTACAAAATTCTAGTAACAAGAAAATTAAATAAAATACACTTACATTAGTACCATCAGCCATTTCGACACTTTTTTCACTTAAAAAAATTGACGACTTATTGCGTTGCTGCTAATGTGCAAATGAATGCAATATGAAGAGGGTCTTGATATTTATATATCAACAAAGCATTCAAAGAAAAATTTTAAACAAGTTTCTTATTACACATTACAAAGAAATTGATTTCATATGAGAAAATATTTTAATTTATTTACTCCCTTATTGACAATTTTTCGGCTTTGAAAATCACACCAAAATATTTCAAACTTTATATTTTTAGCAAAGTTAACAAACGATAACAAATTTCTAACTCATTTTCTAAATTTTTAACAACATTAATACTTTGATTACAAATTCATAAAAAATGCAGTTATCAGGTTCTCCTTAAGAATATTTCATTATCGCTATTTTTTCCCTTGGTTGATGGCGTTACCAGTAATGCTCAAAATTTCAGGAAATCGTTTCAAAATTTCGGCATAGTGACTAAAACAAGATATTAAAATTACAAAAATTTCAAAAATGTCTCAATCAACCTGTCATTAAATAAACTTATAGCATTTCTCGGAGTTTCAGATTTGTGATAATCAATTTTAGGTCTGCTCAAATCATATCTCCTTGTGCTCGTCCGAGTTTGCCTCGGTTCGATTCTGGAAGATAAGTTCCCGAGAGATGGAACGCTGGAATCGCTTCTCTAAAACATATTTATTTACACTTCGGTATCTTCAAAATTTTATGTAAATACCCGTTGTTTTTTGGGCATTTTTGTTCTGGCAATGTCGGGCAATCTCTGCTTCATAAATTCGTTATCTGCAATAAAATATTGATTATCTGAGATCAGAAATATTGTCTTCGCTCACTTTCACCTTCTTTATACTGGTCTTGCTTTGCAGCGATTTTTGGAAAATGTGACTTTTCATTATCTTCTCCTAAACCAGAATCGGACTGACTTGGGCAATTGTAGTTCTTTTGGGAATCTGGGAATTTTAGACTCATTTCCAAATCTGGGGCAAACTGGCCGTAACTGTTTGTCCCACTTACTGTCACGGACCATTCGCCTAATAAAATAAAATCGAATCGAAAATGCCCTTCAATAGGATTATTAGCACTTATTTGAGAATATCAATCCAGATATTCGATACAAAAAGATGCAGCCAACTACAAATTTTTCCAACTTTCTTTTCACATTTTTTTAAAATAGAAATATCAAATAGAAGAAATTTAAATTCTATTGGACATTTTGATTTTTAATCACTTTTTTATATTAGTTTCATAATGCGGTTAATTAGCAGTCTAGTTAGAGCTTGCGGTGTTTTTTATTGAACATCTCGCTTTAATTTATTTTCCTGAACTCTTCTCATTTCTAAATAAAACAGTTTTTTGTTGCAGGAGAAAATTATAAACAAGAATAAGTGCTTACAGAAAATCAATAGGTACAAAACGAAAAAAGCAAACTTAAAAATGTGAGATATATATTTTTGATGTCTAGTTTTATGACAGTTCTCAAAGCAGCAATAAAATTTTATTTTGATAGCAAATGTAAGCGTTTAAGACCACAAATTTAAATAAAACAACTTAAAATATGTATTTATTTAATGTTTATTATGTCACAGAGTATAGTTTTTTCAATACCAAAGTCCTCTAAATGTTAAGCATCTCATTAAAATTTCTTTTTTGTATTTTTTGTCGTACACAAGGACAATCAATAAAAGTAATTATTATTCGTGAGGTTCTGTTAACAGGCCAAGGACACCAATTATCTGTTAATCTGTGCAGCATTTTATATTTAGTTTTACCCAAAAGAAATAGAAACATTTATTTTATTAATCAAGGAATTTTGTAAATACCTATTAATTTGAATTGCAGTTAGAAGGGTAAGATTAATATGCAGTCCTAATTTGCAATTTTTTTATTAATTTTCAATATCACTGTTTATTATATTGCGTTACAGAGTGTTTTATATATTACATGACATGTAAAAGTCATTGATTAAAAAATATTATTTATTCGAGGTTATTCACAAAAATATCGTTCTTACGTGTCGATAAAACAAGTGCACTATCAGTAAAAATGATTGCGATACGTAATATCGGATTCCTTACCGAACTGCTTAACTTTTTCCGTTTCGCTAACTTTATGCCTTATTTTCCTCTGGTTATATTTTTTATATCGACCGGTGGTTGGAGGCAAGGTTTTCGTCGGAATTTCACTGCTAGAGGAGCAGTTTCCATTCGATTCATATTTGTCTTTTTTGACAACATCATAAGTGACATTGTTGTAGGCCGATGTCAAGTCATTGTTATTCCCAGTCTCAATTTCTTGCTTGCTTTCATTTTTTTTATCAGCCAATTTATTCCCTAAATAAAATCGATTTATTTTTATAAAGAAAAATTCTACAGTGCTCGGGTTTAAACTACGTGCACTACGGGTCCGCATACTTGGAAAGATTAATACCTTCATCGGAAGTACTATCAGGAGATCCCCGATTGTTATGTAGCATGTAAAACGTAATCCAACCTTTAGGAATCGAAGAAAAGTTTTCGTCTTTGACAACAGCAACGGCCGCTTTGCCTTGGTACGAAGTCTTTTCTTCGGTTGGATTAACTTCGTTATTGTTCGAAATGTCATTTTCTGTTGACGATTGTAAGGACAATTCCTCAGGGATTGCGTCAAATTTTTGACTAAACTTCGGCGGTTTTGCTGACTCAGCTTGAGATTCCTGCACGGGAGATTTGCTGCCACTCACCGACGCCTGTATATCAGGAATATTCAAAGTTTCTATTAATATATTTGCGATGAGTTGGTCTAATTTAGGATCACTGATGGGAACGCAATCCAAGTCTAAAAAAGCCGGTTTTTCGACTTTCTGCTTTTGGTTTATTTTCGGCAACTTCTGATTTATCAGGACCGGAATTCTGGATTTTTTCGACAACTGTTGGCCCAGTTTTTCCGAATTGTCGACACACTCCATGATTTCCAAAATTTCTATCCTTTTATTCGTATTATTAAACTCCGTCTTGTGGTAAATTCTGCGAGGGCCGTAGTCGTAAACATATTCATTTTTGGAAGTGTACAAAGGGGTCAACTTTTCATTTTTATTTTTGACTTTCGGGATCCAATGTTTTTGTTTGGATTTTGTGTAGTTTTCGTCTTTAATTGATTTGCGTTTGACCGATTTTTGGTCATCGATTTTGATTCTTCTAAAAGACTCAATGCTAGGCAGAAGCGGTTTGCTTCGTTTTTTACTTTTTCCATAATTGACTTCAGGGAGTGGTACACTATTTAAATTGATATCGGCACCGTTATCAACGATACAATGAATGTGATTACCATTTTCACTTGCACTAATATAATTACTGTCAGATCTAGATGAACTTTGCTTGCTTCTATTCCTTTCTTCTCTTTTCTGCTGTCTTCTAATAAGCCGGTCTCTAACTTTTTGGGGCAAATGATCCGAAACTGGTTTAAATTCAGTTCGTGCATCGATTTTAATCGGGATAAAAAACGCGGTAGGTTTGCTAGGTTTCTTATCACTATTATCGGGAAGCTCTAACGATATGTCACTTTTGTTAGCAGTCACTTCGTTCTGCATGGGGTCTGTTCGCAGTGACGAAGTGTCTTCTAAACTATCTACTAAACTAACGGTGTCTGATTCCTTATCAGTGGACTCTCCTGATGACATATTAACTTCCATTGAAGAGGTTTGTGGACGTGCCGAAAACCGAGGAACGGCAATTTGGGGAACTTCCGGCGGCTTGGTATAGGGACTACCAGCACCGACATTGCTAATCATGCATTTAACTATCCTACTATGTTGCGAATTGTCCTCACTGTCTTTTCTTTTGAGATAAAAACTCGGAATTTGTTTCACTTGTACGATATTAGATTCACTAGAAACATCACTAGAGTTTTTCACGTCTTGCATCACTTGATTAAAAATTAAGTCCAAAGTTGATTGGCTCAACTGCACGTTTGAGATAACGTTAACGTTGGTAGTACCGATGGTTTGCGTTGCCGTTTCGTTAGCACATCGGAGTTGACACCCCTGATTCGACGCTTCCGTATCTTCAAGAACGTCTTTGTAAATTTCGGATGGAGTTGAATTGTTGTTTGAAGTTTCCGTGTAGTTTGATCTGCTGTTGGTGTAGGCCGAGTCCGAATTGTCCGAAAATGTGGTGTAGCTTGTGTTTGTGTATCGCGTGCTCGTTTCCGTTTCCGTTGTCGTTGTCGTTTTTGGAGTTGTTGTAGTAGTAGTTTTAGTAGTAGTACTGTCCGTCTCGAAATGCCTCTTTTGGTGTTTTGGTGATAATCTTCTCGAGTTGATATTTTTGTGTTGCGGCGAAGTTCTAAATTCGTTGAGAGACCTCTTGCTTTGCGACTTAACGAGATGTTCGGGAGACGAATGAACTGAAGTAAGGGAATGTGTGGATCTTCCCGAATATAATTTTCCGTAAGAATGCTGCCATTCATGGAAACTCCCGGAAAATCGTGTACTTGTTAAAGGTTTAGTGTGGCTCCAGAGTCGTCTTAACAGCGTTGTTTTTCTCATTAAGTCAGGATCGCGTCTCCGATTTAAGTTTGAATCACTCCCAGCCTCCATTTCGCTTCGATAACTGTAGATTTTTGTTTCCGATTGGGCAATTTCGCTGTCTTGTGAGTCGGAGCGTTGTTGAGCCAACATGTGCCTTATAGAGAAACGCATTTTAGTTACTCGTAAAATAAAATATAAATAGGGAAGGATATGGGCTGGGGAAAGTACCCGAGATCTAGTTTTATTATTCCATTACACACGTACTTTTATAGCCTTTAAAATTCTACATAAAAATTTAACAGGGACGCGGCAGACGATTTCAGATCAATATTTCTATTTAACTAAAATAAATTTAGAATGAATTTAAAGAATGTCGCCCGACAATCTGCAAATTTTCTTTAAATAATTAGTAATAAAAAATCCCGCCGGAGATGTGCGTGACCTACACTTTCATCGATTGCTTGCCTTGAAGGAGGGGAATTTCGTCTATACCTACACTGAGTCACCTTTTGCAAAGTCTTAAAATCTAGACTCAGGTTGCAAGAATTCGACTTACTTTCGCATTATCGTTTCCGGTGCGCTCAGTCTTCGTCTCAGCAAGACAGGTGAAAGCATTTCGTTTGAATTGTTTTTGTTCCATTTTTCATCCATCGTGCAATAACTGAAAATTGAACAAAAATTCGACATGCTTCCCTTGCAATAAATAAATAAAATACTATTGATCTATTGACCATAGCGTGATCGGCACGTGTTGAAATGTTGAGTTACCTTTGCCTGCAGGAGCGTACTGAAAACTGAAAAAGCTCGTGTCTCGCCGCAGGAATTTATAGTGCGCAAAGATTAAATGAAGAGTTACCTTTGCGGATTCCAAGCTTTCCGTATCTCTTCAAGGACTTCCTGCAGTGTTAGACTTCTCCTGGCTCGAGTTTGGAAAAATCCTGCCGGTGGTAATAAAAATTAATTTCACTGAAATCACAAATGGTGAAGCGTTCCGCGTGTTTGTGAATTAAATAGAATGCAGGGTCGATATTTGTATGAGTTGAGTGATCCATACTCGATATAGTCGTCTCACTTCTATTTCGTTTTTTCCGAGGAAAGCGTCTTTGTTTTGCAATAGCCACAATTTGTTTATTTTAGTCAAATTTGAGGTCAAGGCTCGTGGTAGCAACTGTTGCACTGATCAAATTAAATCTATTGTTGGCAAGCTCTGTTACTTACCTGATAAATATTTGGTTAAGAAGTTTGAGGACCGCCGATTGGCGGCTTTGAAACGTGGACGAACGGAGAGAAGTGAAGAGCCGTCGCGACGCCAGCAACGAACTGAAAAGCGTCGAGGCGCCGACCTTTCAGGAGGACGTGTAAAAGCTCTTATTGAAAACGGCGGCGACAAGCAGAACACACACAACGGATTTTTGGACACCTGGAATTTCATTATTTTGACTTAATCGAAGAGGGATCGATACGAAGCGGGCTTTTTTTACTTACGAAGGATTGAAGCAAAGATAAGAAACATCTGTGTTATTACATTTTTTGACAAATAGAATTTATTCTGGAAATTTCTGAATAATTTACAGATTAGACAAGAATAGGCTGGATTGATACGAGATTTTCTAAAGCTACTATTTCATTGAATGAATATTTGATTTATGCTTAACAAAAAAAATAGGATTATAATTTTATTCACATCATAGATAAAGAAAAATAAATAAAACGTAGAAGATACAACTGTTTGATAATACATGTTGATAGCTCTTAAAACAAACGGTAATTTATTTACTCTTTGGAAACAAAGTCGTCCCCGATTTCTAAATTTGCGTTAAGTGATATTTCCGGTTCTGTCATACGTTTCTATCAAAAAACGATATATTTAGACTCTAAAATTAATTGTTACGAAAACGGTATCAAACGATGTTATAAATAATACCCTCGGTAATACCAAATATATGAAATTTTACGATGGAACGAATATCGGCAAAATTGCCAGTATTACGACCCATAATTTTAATTGAAGTGCGCTTTTAAGTACTCTTAATACTATTTCTCGAAATTATTATGCGTCTAATTAGTGCCTTAAATACATAACGCAATAAAAATTTCGTTGCTATTAAAATCAAAAATAGGTCTAGACTTAGAAGACCATACTGAAAATAATTTGTTAATTAAAAATAAAAAAACAATTTTTAATACAAGCTCTATCATTACCCTCACTCTAAGGTCTAAATTAATTACGGTATACCTTATTGGAACTGTCGTCACATAACATTTTGCAATTTTTACACTTTAAACCACTCACACATTTAATTGGTTATTTATTTAAAACTACAAAAAGTAAACCATCCAATAAAATTGACTTTGAAATTTCATACTATATAAATTTGATGAAAACTATAAAGATGTGGCGGCCGCGAAATAGACTTACAACTTTTTGAAATAACTCTTTGCATTATCGATATTCAGGAAAGTTGAAGCGGTATCAGTACGTGCTCTTCCCTAAATTATTTGGGTGAAATCAATAAACGAAGGAGGGCTTGTCAACAAATGGGATAATAAGCTCGAATACATAGGTACCTAGGTACCGTATTTTTAAGATTATATAATATTCTTTTAGTTTGGATGCACTTAAAATCCATTAATTTAATTTGATTGTTCAATTTCGCAAAAATGAAAAGCGTTTTTTTATATATAAACACTACGAAAATTTAATTAAAATTTTTGCTAAAAGAGCTCGTCATTATTAACCCCGTGAACTGAACTCATTGTCATAGGGCAATTGTAGTGATTATTAGCAGGAAATTTGCCCAACACTGTGACTGAGGAATAAACACAATTAACTGACGCAAAGTTTATTTTTAATTTTTTTACAGTTTTGCAAATAATGAAATATGAAATTCTTCATACGAATTTCATTTTTACAATCTAATTTAGCACTAATAACATAACTTTGTCTTAATTTGTGGTGCCCTTGTCTTTTCTCAAAAAATGTCTTGAACTTATTTAAATAGTTATGCAATTTAATAATGAATCATACTGGTAGGTACATACATATGTGTTAGAAAGAGTCGATTTTTTTGTTAATTGATTTGTTGTCTCATAGGTAATTTAATCAAAAGATATTCTGACATAATAGCTGATAACTATACTGAAGCTATTTCTGTCAGTCTTTAGTCCAGAGTAAGTTTAAGCAGGTCTGAATGCTGGTGTTAAAGTGTCATTTTCGTAATTAGTTGCACCAAATTCTGTTAATTTATCAAAAGTGCTTGTTCTTGTGCTAAACCACAATAACCAAACTATTATTTCGATCTGTTAGGCATAGGTAAGTATTGAAGTGCGTATTGACAATTATTTTGCACAACAATTCGATCGGTTTGAATAAACAGGTAATAACTGCTTATTACAACTAGAAAAATTTTGACAATTTCAACAAATTAGTTGAAAAATTTTAATTTCGCGCTGACTCGATCGATAAAGCGTCACTTTTTACCGACGGAATCCAAACTGACTTATCAGCGGCAAATTCAAAATCTAAATGTGAACTATTACCGTCTATTGTTACTTATAATTTAATATTTGGGTCTTTTTAGCTAAGTGGTATTTTGTCCTCATCTTAACGTATATGCTTTCTAGTCACGTATGTGTCATTTTTCTCTATTGAATTGTATAATTTATCTGCCGAATTTTGTCTGTTGATCTTTTTAGTAAAGCTGAATTTTAAATTACACTAATACAGAGTGTGTCAGAGAAAAATTTCAAGTAAGATAAGATAAGAACATGAAAATGTTTAAAAAATTCTATGTGTTAAAAAATTTTGACATTTTACATGTCTATTTAATGCTACTGATGATCTTGTATATGTTTTTTAAAAATTATTTAGTAAAGGTACACAAATTTTGCCAATAAAAGCCACAAATAACATTAAAGAGAGTTACAATTTAGGATTCAGCTTCCTCGTTTCCTCTTCTAATAGCCTGTATAAAAAAAACTTGGAAAATTATTTTTCCAACAGAAATAAATAGTCAAAGTGCATAACTTCGAAATTTTTATAGATATTTTTTTTTAACATTTCTCCATGTTTCCCTGGGGTGCAAGTTCTGGCGCACCTGTATAATTTTAACTCAAAAACCGCCAAATAAATTGTTGCGAAAAAAACTAATTGCGTAATGGTTTGGTAGAGATAAGTAAAAGACGGTTTTATCAAAACATATCTATTTCTTATGTATGTACATTTAAGTTGTCATTTACACTGGTTGGATAGGCCTGCACATCAGAAGTGTTGGCATAACACAGCCACCTTTTTTGGATTTATCATAACTGTAATTGAATATAATCCGTACAATCATAGAAATATAATATAAAACATTTGCTAAAGAAAAAAATGCAAGAAATGTGAAAAATCATCGAAATCAAAAACAAACAAACAAAAACTCATAAATAAAAAACAAATATCAATGATTTTTCAAACAATCGAACAGCTCGCATTTTAATCATTCTTATTTGTTATGCACATGTTCCCTAGATTTAGAGAAATCTATTGTGGCCGCCTATCGTATTCGCGTCTGTTATAGTCTCTATCTAACGGACGCCAATCACCAGGTGAAAACCTGTCTCTTGGAAACTGTTCCGGTATATACAAAGGAATTGGTTGAAAGTTAGGACCATAAAATACTGGTGGTCGTTGACCACCCATGGGAGGCATAAGGTCGCGTGGATTCCTCGAATATCTCCAATCCGATTTTCCCTCAGGAGACCTAAACCACAAACTATATTATAACATCACTGCAAATTGTCACATTTTACCTTTTATCGGGACGACCAAAATCACCCCTTTCTCTATGATAACCGCTCTGTCTTTGATAATCAAATCTGTCTCGCTTGTGTTCCGGGAAACGGTCACGTGACTGATTTCCGCTCCACCTTTCATGGTCAGCATGAGACATGGGTTCGTGCCGAAAACTGCCTTTCTGGATACTTGAATTTGGTTTTCGGTTACTTCGGCCGTACCGAGACCATTCTCCTTCCTCCTCTGGCTCATCGCGGCTTTTCTTCTTCTTCTCCTTCTCTTCTTTATCACGTTTGTCTTTCCTAAAACCATTATTATTATCAGCATCATTATTATTCACAGCAAGTTATTATATACTTTTCAGAACGGTGTTTCTTCGATTCCCGTTCTTCTTTATCGTCACCTTCATGACGCCTCTTACTCGTATGTTCTCTTTCATCTTTACTTTCACTTTTTGTTTTTTCTTTACTAGTGCTACCACCCGCATCCTTAAATACGACAAATAAAAATATAAAATTCAGAAAAATATTAAATAAAGGTTACCGGGTCGTTTTTCTTTTCCAATTTTTCAGACTTCTTGCAGGCTCGTTTATATAATTTATACAATTTTTTAGAATCGAATTCAGTAAATTTAGATACAAAGTACCATAAGTTACTGTAAAAATATAGCAATAAAAAGGATTCAATCGTTATTAACTAACAAACCTTCTCCATTCTTTAATTTTTTCTGGATCACTATACTGACTCAAACAGTGAGTGATTTGTTCTCCAATTTGTATTAAACACAACCTAGTATGGTTTACTTGTTCCGCCTCTGACAAAGACTGATCCGGATTATCTAATGCTTTGAGGGCTTTTTTAACAGGCCTCATTTTTTCTTTACACTGAATTAGTAAAAAAATATATTAAAATGATAAAAATCAAACATTTAGAAAACATACCTCGTTAAATATGGCAGGGTCCAAATCACCTAATACGTCTAAAGCCCTTGGTTCATTGTTAGCAGTAAAATGCATTGGTCCAGCAAGTTTCTTCTCTTTCTTCTTATCCTTCTTCTTGTCTTTCTTTTCGCTGTGATGTTTACTCGAACCATCCATTTCTTTCTCATCTTCTTTTTTAAGTACAGATTTGCTCTTTTTGAGAATTGATGATGTTGTACTTGTTGAACTAACAATATTTGTATCATCATTTGAACTAATATCATCATTATCAATAATTTCTTTAGTCAAAGCTTTGGTTTCTTTCGACTTTCGTTGTCTTTTCGGTTTAGACACCCCTTTTTTCTGATCGAGTTGTTTCTTCAATATTTTTAATAAATACTCAGCTCTGGATTGTAAATGTTTAGCTTGTGGCTTCTTATCTTCATTTAGTAAAATTTTATCACCAATTCCCAATGTTGGGTCTAACTTAATCTGTTCCCATGAACCCATGCCGTAGATATAAATCCCTTGAAGTAATTTCGAATCTTCATTAATATCCCATTCGACGTCAAAATGTGCAGGTTTGGTTCTTGCATCTAGCACCCATTTGCTTCTTTCTTCAGGATTTGAAGGCAAAACTTCATCTAAAGGCTCCAATTCCTCTTCACACGCCATCATTGTTTTCGCATTAACTGAAACTCCACCTAACTTAAACGACGGTCCTCTCATCCTCTTCCGACCTCGACTAGCATCATCTTGGGTACTTTCAGTATTTTCTTTGGTGTGTTCACCCATATACGCCCTACAACGTTCGTGGAGAAGCTCCCCCAATTTCCTCAACTCCGCCAAAGGCTTTTCCTGCAGTTCCGCATCACAAGCCACGGCTTCTAACCTCTTCAGTGGCGCGCTGAATTTCTTGTAACTCTTGACAAACCTTCTGATCTAAAACTCAACTTTTACAACAGAAATTAATTTAAACATACGACATACTTCTACGTCGGTGAAATTCTTAATTCTTTCACGATTGGCCAATGGAGGTCGGCCACGTTTTCGCGGCCTTTCCTCGTCACTTTCTTCACCTTCACCGCTTGACCCTCCAGATTCTGCTTCTTCCTTCTTCCGTTTCTTGCGACCTTTCCCGTCTTCGCCATCACTTTCAGATTGGTTGATTTGTTGGAGAGTTTTACGAGAGCGTGGAGGAAGGTATAAGTCTTCCATTTCTTTGGATCTCTCTTCTTCTTCGACTTTCTTTCGAAGTTTTTCCGGAATGATTTCGTCCCAATCCTTGCTTTCTTCATCTGCTGGTGCTTGGGGCGCTGGAGAGGGTTCGGTGTCTTCGTCAAAAGCGGCGAAATTCGCAACTTTGAAGGCTGATAGAAGTTCGTCTCCGGCAAGGGTGGGAGCTTCGTCACGTGTTTCGGCTCTTCGGAGGATTTCGTCAATATCACACTAAAAATATAATTATTAGGACTAGAGGGAAAAGTGAATAGATATTGGAATTTACATTTGGTTCTTCGTCTTTGTCATCTTCGTCCTTGAATAATTCTTCAGCACCAAATTTGAGTATAGCGGTGAGGTCTTCCTTGTTGAAAGGATTATTGTTTGAGGATCCTTTCTTGTCCAATACTGTTCTTCCTGTTGTATCCATTC